GATGTGAAATTCAAGGCACAAACTTTTCATTTGTGAACATTTTAAGCTATATTGCTCCATATCCTCAAAAAATTCAAAAAACTGATTTTTCAATCTGAACAAAACCAATAGATTCACACGTGAAAACGGTGTGAATATAAAAAAATCCTTTAAAAACCAAATCAATAGTCATTCAATTGACAACAGCTAATTTGCTCTCAATAACAAGATATGTTCTCCTTTGCGGTCATATGAGAAGAAATTGATTATTAGGAATGAAAAAAAGAGTATTCATCATCATCGTTACAATTGAATCTCTGCTCTATCAATAAATTTATCCATTTATCATCTCGAATATAAATATACATATATGTGTATGGCTTTGCATCATATCATTAGCATTAAAGCTAGCTAGCTATAACGTGATGGTGGTAAAAAAGCATCAATTGACACAATTTTTTTCGCTCTTCATACATTATAATATGCTTTACACCAAACCATACATCCCTTTGATGAATCATCAAATCATTATTCTTACTCAATTTATTTGTGATGAGCCGTGATGAGGAGAGAAGTGGCATAACGAACAAGCTTAAGAAAGTAACGAATTATGAATGGCAGTTTTAACTTGTCTATTGACATTTAAGTGCTGTTATGAGCGAGTTATAATGTTAAGGACGATGGGTTAACGAAATCATTTAGTGCGAAATGTCATGAAAAATGTCATAAAAAATTTACGCTGCGGCACAAATTGAAAATTTCATTATCGCCCTTTTATTATAATCCCTATATTCCTTATTATCCTCTTCTATTTTCTATTCGAATTAATGAGAGAATTTGTTTTATTTTGCATGGCTCATAACATATGAAGAGATTTTCGCTTGATAGCAACAAATTTTCTATAATAATGAAAATAAAAAGAAAATTGAAAAAAAAATGGAATGGAAAAAGTAACTAATTGAATTTACAGCTCTAGCAATAAATGATGGACAGGTAAGGTGGATAAGGATATATTATTATATGTACATTCACTGTGCTGCTTTGCCGCACCTTAATATGCCGTGATGGAACCTTCCATCATGATTCATTCGCGAGGAGTTGGCAATAGAAGCAGCATAATACCATTTATAGAATGAATCGATAAAAGTCGGACACGCCGTTCATCCTGAAGTGGAAAACTACCAACAGCCACAATGTAATATGTTTGTCCATCGCCTCACCTTAATTTCAATTTTTTACTCTGTCTCTCCTACTTTTTTTTTCTTCATCCTTCCAATTCGTTTGCTTTTCAAGGCTTAGAAGTTAATTTACTGCAGAGAATGAGGTGAAAAACCAAGCCTGAAAAAACGAAAAAAAAATGTTAAATGAATATACAGAATAAAGACCGTATAAACTAAGGTGTGTATGAAATGGTTACTGACTTGTCATTTACTTTACTAGAAATAAAATATAAATACAAACAGAAATATATGCTTGATTCTCCCTCATGAAGCATGAATTTAATTTCGTCCTTATCAGTGACAATAAACCATTGATTTTTCTTTTTCTTTCTCTTCACTCACTTTTGTCATTCAGCGAAGCTATCGAGAAACCATGTAAAAGGATATGTAATAATGATATTGAAAAGCACTGACAGCTACAATTTGTTATCATTTTTTTCTGTTCTTCACTCCTTCATGGGAAATTTAAAACGACATAACACACACCCTCATTATGGAAAAAAAAATAAGGTGAAGCTAGTCATTAGAGATGCATGATTATAGCGCAGTATTATTCAAATGCTTTTATTAGATATTAAAAAATTTTAACGTCCTTTTGAAATTTCTTCTGTTATAATAACATGCGCCAAAATATACGGTCTGTTTCACTAAAGTGGATTATCTTCGATTTCGGATTATCCTTTTCAATTTTTTGCAAATATCTTAAACTTTTTGGGAGGTGTGGTATTTCTAATTTTGGATTATAATAGAGTGAACTATGCCTGAAATTTCTGTACACTTTAAATTTTTGCTTTTCATTAAGAAGTATTAATTATTCAATTTTCTAGCCAAATCTAGTAGATTAACTTCGATTTTTGCTATAATTCTCAAACTAATGAAGATATAAAAGTTCTAAGTATATGTTAATTTAAGTAGCAAAGTACTCTAACTAGATCACACATTAGATCTCTTAAAAGTCTTAATTGTCTGGAGATATTTCCAAAAAACTGAAGTGGATAATTCGAAATCGAGGATAATCCACTCTAGTGAAACAGGTCGATAGAGATTTCGCCAGAGGGCGAAGCCGAGCTTAGTCGACTATAGTCGACTAAAATCGACTTAGCCGGTTTTAGTCGACTAAAGAATTAACGGTTTTTTCCTTAGTCGGCTATAGTCGACTAAAACCGGCTAAAGTCGACTAAAGCCGCGACTAAGATCGACTAAAGAAGGATTTTTTGGCTTGTGAAGTATAAAAATTTCATACAAAAATTCTCTTATTTTCGTCATTCAGGTTCGAATCTCAAAATATTTTTTGACTTTTTTAAACATTCAATTTGTATTATTAAAATTGTTTAAATCAAATATTATTAAATTAAAAAGATTAAAGTTGTAAAAGTATATTTTAAGTACTCATTCAAAATATTAGTTTTATTCATTTATGGAGTATTATAAGAAAAATAAAAAATAAAAATGTCATAAAAAGTGTCCTTTTAAAATACGAATGAAATAACATTCTATATTAAGGACTTAAGATATAGCCAGGATAACAAAAACATATTATTAAGTCATTATTAGTAGATTAATCTCATAATCTAAGTATGAATTAATCATTCTTGTTCAAGGATTCTAATAGGTACTCTATATTATGGTGCAGAAATAATATTCTATGAGCTCGTTCAGGATTTAAGGATGCTCTTTTTTGAGTCATTAATGAGTTTGATATTGAGAAATTACGTTCCGCCTCAGTACTCATAGGTTGAATAGCAAATAAAACTCTTGCTAAACGATACAACAAAGGCAAATCATCCATCCTTGTTAAACTATGAATACGTTTTAGAACGTTTGAATGATCATAAGCCGTTAAAAATTTGATTAGATTTCTCGTAAATATTCAAAAAAAAATGTTTGGTTAAATTATGATGCAATTTAATGCTTTAATGTAACTTAAGTCATTTTGAATCGTCAATTGTATTTTTAAAAACAGTTAAAACTTCTACAGTTCTGCATTAAGAGTGTTTTGGGTGCATAATGTGATGTTTTAAAATTTTGCAATTCAAAAAAAAAAAAAAATTCAAATTTGTACCATTAAAAATAAATTTTGGTAATTAAACTACCTATGGCTATGTTGCAATGAGTTTTGTCAAATAAGATATCAAAATAGATATGAACACGGTTAAACACAAAAAAATGTTTCAATGTCATGCTTAGATAAATTTCGAAAAAATTAAGCGTCTTTAGCAGTAATTTAATTAAGATTTTTTAGGTATCTACGATGTAAAGCACAATATTTTTAACATGCTGAGAAATTTAAAAAAGTCAAAAAATATTTTGAGATTCGAACCTGAATGACAAAAATAAGAGAATTTTTGTATGAAATTTTTATACTTCACAAGCCAAAAAATCCTTCTTTAGTCGATCTTAGTCGCGGCTTTAGTCGACTTTAGCCGGTTTTAGTCGACTATAGCCGACTAAGGAAAAAACCGTTAATTCTTTAGTCGACTAAAGCCGACTAAGTTTTAGTCGGTTTTAGTCGACTATAGTCGACTAAACTTCACTCGGCTTCGCCCTCTGGATTTCGCTAAATCGATCAAAATAAGACAAAATGATACAAAGTTAAAACTAGACGACTTCAAAAAGAGCAACGTTAAGCGAAGAAAGAAAAAATTATATGAAAGGAAATTGTGGCAAATTTCTCATGTCACTTCTTAATGGCAGCAAATAGATGCATTATATGGAAATAGGTTAAACATACTTAAACTGATAACGAGCGGAGATTGATGAAATCGATTGATAATTTTTAAAGCAATTGGGCACGAAATGTAGACAATCTCTTTTTTTCCAGTCTATATCATCATTAATTTTTGTCATTAGCTTTTCTTACTAAGTTATATATATATACCAAATGACTCGATGATGGATTGATAAAAAAAGGGAAAATATCGTCAACGAATGAGCAAACATTTAGCATTTTTATGTAAGTTTCGAAAAATTAATTAGGATGGAACATTTTTATGAGAGAATGAAAGACTCCTTTTATGGTCGATTGAATGTTTAGATCAAAATTAATTGATTCAAGTCGCGCGAGCGAAAATAAAGTTTGTATTTCTTTCTTTTATGGATTGTTTGAATATTGACATTTGTACTAATTTAGCACCTTTATTATTTTACTTACATAACGAACATTTTATAGGCAAATCGATTCATTTGACTCTTCTTCCTCTCCCATTTATCTCTCCCCTAATATATTTGTTTTTGACTGGCTGGTTTTCATCGATGATATAGTGTAAATTGTAAACATCATTTTCATTTTCCGGCATCACATTACAGGACTTTTTACATTCGTTCGATTATAAATATTTTGATGTCATGTTTGCGTTAAATTAATGCTATTAGCATTTAATATTATTGCTTTATTTCCTGACGATTAAATCGCTCCAATTCAATTTATGCCGCATCATCCTCTATCTTTGATTTCAGACCTCAATAAAAGGTATAATCATTGATGTTTTGTCCTATTCGAATTCGATTGATCTATTGTCAATCCTTGTTAACACGTGTCGTTGAATTTTAATTGTCAACGGTTCAATTTTGAATTTTTATCTAAAGCCTTACAAAAGTTTATCTGTTTTTAAATCCATACAATTTCAAGAGTTTAATATTGAATTTGTATGGTTTTAAACCAAAGTTTCAATTTCTTACAACTTTTTCAAAGCCATGTTCACGAATTTTCTCAATCCTTATGTTCTCAAATACGACATCTTTAACATTAGTGCAATGCATTTCGTGAATAGACAAGTTTTCAACTGAGTCATAACGGTTTAATAAAATTCAAATTTAGTAGCAGACCCTCTTGTTTATTTATTTTTAAAAACAATTATTTATTTGCAATTTAAAGTTTCATTAATTGAGCTAAAATGAGAAGACGAGCAGGTGTTGGAGCCATCCAGAAACAAAAGCTTGAGGCTGACAAATTCCGTGACAAGGGAACACAATTACAGGATTCACAGTTCGAGCAAATGAGTAAACAAGTTGTTTCTTTAAAGGAAAATTTAGAAGAGTTTTCAGATAAGTACAAGTCTGAAATCAGGAAGAACCCGACCTTTAGACGACAATTTACAGAGATGTGTGCTGCAATTGGGTAAGCGTTTGTTGATCCAGTAGAGTATTCTTAATTATTAACGCAAATTTCAATCGATTAGTGTGGATCCATTGTCAAGTTCCAAAGGAGTTTGGAGTGTTTTAGGAATGGGCGATTTTTACTTCGAATTAAGCATACAGATAGTAGAGATTTGCTTAGCATCTGCAGAATCAACTGGTGGTATGATGGAACTAAGTGAAATTAAGGAAAGGCTTTCAAAATCCCGTCGTCAAAAGATACAGCAAGAGATTACAACCGAGGATGTATTATTAGCAACAAAGAAGTTAAAAGCTTTTGGCAACAGCTTTCAAGTACATCCGTTAGGAAAGAATCGATACATCATTCAGTCAATTCCTGGAGAATTAAGCTTACAAGAAACAAAGGCATTAAGCACAGCTGCAAATACTGAGAATGGTGCAATCACAAAGTCTTTATTAATGAAGGAATTAGGATGGAATGAAATAAGAACTCAACAAGCTATTGATAAATTAATAAGTGAGGGACTTGTTTGGGTTGACAGTCAATGTGATGATGAGCCTACCTATTACTTTCCCAGCTTATTTCCTGGACGAAAAAATAAGATTGAGTCTACATGATTTAATGATTGATAAAAGTAATAAAGCTTTATTAAACAGAAACTAGTTTTTTGGAAATAAGTTTACAGCCTGAAGAACTATAGTCGATTTCTTTCAATTCCTCAAATTCTTGTGCATTCATAGTGATGTTAAAAAGCTTTAAATGAATTTCAATGCATTTAATAAAATCATCTTTGCTTAGTGGATTAAAGTCTATAATCACAAAGTTCTTAAGATCGTCCTTGATCTCGTCAGTCATTGTATCCTTAAATATTGCTAATAGTACTATTCTAAAGTTGCTCCTTTTTCCTTCATCACGCATTTGTTGCTCGAAATCTTTCAATAATTCAATTGCATATTCATCAATCTCTAAATCGTCTAGTATAATTAAATTGAATCCACACTTGGAAAGTCTTGATCTTGCAATTTCAAAAAGATTAAAAAATTCGTGGACTTTCCAAATGTATTTTTGGACATTTGTTGGATTTGGGTAGTTCCTTGCTATTATCTCAGATGCTAAAGTCTTTCCTATGCCTGTTACTCCATGAAATATCATTTGTATGTATTCGTCATTATTTGCTAAATTCAGGCTTCCTTTAATCAGTTCTATTGCATCATCCTGGCCAACGATTTCATCCAGTAGCCTAATATTGACTAGATTTGTATCGATTTTCCGATAACAATATTTTTCATCGCCATAGACAATCATATTGTAATTCCTCTCATACGTATTCCAAAACTCACAGCTTCCAAATTTTAACTGATATAAAATAAAGGCTATAATTAATGTAATTAATGATGTCAGGAAGATTAAGTATTTCTTCCATTGAATTTTGTTCTTTGGTTTCTTTATTTTTTCGACTTTTCTGCTGTCTTTTTGCTTTGTCAGTGACCTTATTTCTGATTGCCGTAATTTTGACTTTCTTATTCTTTTGTTCTCATCTTCCATTACTGTCTATACTTAATTATAATTGAATAAATGTGGATATTTACTTTGGTCCTTGTTTTGAAATATTTTTGAAATAAAAAAACTTAACGAAGATTTCACGAAGGTTGATGCTGCATCCCTGCATACCCCTAAAAGTATAGATTGCGTTAAAATACCGGTGATCTTTAAAAACTTAATTATTTAGTGTTTAACACAATGATTTCAATTGGTACTATTAATTATCCACAAGATGAGATTGAATATTTCAATAAGGAAATGAAGTTGCGCATTAATACTGGCGAATTTGAGCGAGGAGAGCTAATTATCACCAAAACGTATTGTTTACAAAAATTGTGCTTTAAATTTCGTTTCTAATTCTATTATTCTAATTTCAGTGAACTAGCATGGAAGAAAGATAACGCTGATTCACAAGGGTTTTCAATTCCTTGGGATAAAATTGTGGTTCAAGCTATTAGTTCCGAAAATACACGTTCCATATATTTCATGATTGATTGTTTATGGCCAAATAGTGAGTCTTCTGAAGCTAATGGGGCTGTCGACAATGGAGATCATCATGAAAACGAGGAAAATGGCGAGAATGATGATGACAACGAGGAATTTATAGATTGTGATGAGGATTCACCAATAACTGAATTTTGGGTAAGTCTGATTGATTTCTCTTAAATCGCTAATTCAAAATGCTTCTAAAAGTGCTAAAAAGATCAGCTTCTACATTTACTCTAGAGGTACAATTTGTATCTGGACTTATGAACCTTTAGTGACTTTAATCTAGACTTGTAATTTTCTGTGCACGATTTTTGTATCTGAACTTATAACCCAGCATCTTAATTAACTTTTCAGATGCTTCCTGATAATCTCGATGATGTGGATAACATATATTATGCCATGACCCGATATCCAGAACGTCCTGAAGCGGAAGAATCTGATGACGATGAAAATTTTTTGGATGGTGAAGATATGGAGCAAATGAACATTAATGATGAGCGATTTGCAGATGATTAAGAGTCAAAATACGTGATTTAATTACTAAAATAATTTTCCTTTGTTCAAGCCGTTCTAAAACTTAATTTTAATAAATTTATTTTCGTAAGAAATTTAATATTTTGATTGTTTTGGAAATCAGATAACTAGCGCTTTGCACCTGTATATGGTTTATGATGGGAAAGGATCATACACTTTCTACTATACCGGTACAAAAAGTCTAAAAAATTTTGAATTAAGCCTTTTTCCGATTTTGCCACATAGTATAACGTATTTTTCAATTTTAAAACAGTTTTACTTTTATCCCGCCAATTTAGTCAAAACATCACTTTTGAGTGCACTTAATTTAATTAATTCAGGCGAGAATGGCGAGTATTCAACAAAAGATTTTTAATGAAATGGTTCATAAGCTCGGAATGAACCAAAATGACAGATTAATCAGGTAAGATTTCACTGATAAATTGGCTTTTTTTTTGGGTACATAATAAATCTTTCAACTTGCAGTAAAGCGATTGAAATTATCGAGTTAATTAAAGCTAAATCTAATGAGATATTAAAGCACATGAATGATAATGCGAAAGTTATTCTATGCCTTGATATCAGCTGTGAATTACTCAATTATCCATTCGCAGAAACAAGCTTAGCAATACAGCAATCATGCCTTAAAAAATCAATTTACACAAAGAACAAGAAGATCTTATTGAAAGTACTGGATCTCGATAAAAAGCTGACAATAGATGAAGTGATCAGGAAATTAGGCATAACTCATACAAATAATATCGAGAAGTTATCAAAAGAGATATTTAAAGATTATATGAAGCAGCAAACTTACGAAGATCAGGATATTAATCCAGCAGTATTCGTTATGAGCGTCTATTTTGCATGCAAATACGAAAATGTTAAAGTCCTCAAAAAGAATGTCCTTAATTTAAGTAATCTAACTCACAGTCAATGGGGTATAATGGAAAAGTCATGGGAAAAATGGACTAGCAATTTTAATAAGGCTAAAGGCAGCAGTAAAAAGGAAGCTAAGGCTGTAAAAGAGAATATACCTGAAAGTATTGAAGATGTCCCAGAAACAATCAAGTCAAAAAGATCTGAGACTGCAGAAGAGACTTATGATGAATGGGCAAAAAGGATATTAGATAAAGCATACCAAGAACTCCGTTTAGATAAGTAAAAAAAATATAAATTTAACATTTATTAATAATTTTTTTTTCTCTTGATTAACGTATAAAGTTAAACTACATTATCTGAAAAATACAGAATTATGGCTTTCCATTTTTTAAAAAATCTGACTCAAACTCTTTTCGTTTCTTTTCTCTTGCTGTGCATTACATGTTGTTGATACATAACTTTATGTAGGGCCTTATGTTTTAAGGTAAAAGAAGTAATAAGTAATAACAAATTGCAACAAATAATAATTATAATATTTTTTTTTTTAACTTAAAAATGTCTCTGAATTAGAAGATAGCAGACAGATAATTGATTCAATTAATATTATTAAGGATATTACGTTTAACATAATTTATGTAAAAATATATATAAATTTGCATTAGTTCACATCTAATGTACAGATTAACCAACACTATCGGAACTACTGCTCGTATTCATCTTATTGCTACTTGTTCGACTGGTCGGTGATGACTTCTTACTAAATACTGGTATTTTGGACGGTGTTTTCGGTGTGTTTAATGGAGCTGAGGATCGTCGAGCAACTGGAATCGGTGCTGTTCCTTCCTGTGATGACTTTTCAAAGTTCTGTCTTATTTGTTCAATTTGTGATATTCTCTTGACTGGTGGTTCTCGATGATTTCCATTCATATTTGTTGAATTCTCGTAGACAGTTGTTGTAAACTTGATTTCAGTACTTTGTGGGATAAAGTTCTTCTCTATGTGCTTTCGTTCGTTTTTGAGGAAGTTAGCTGTTGATAATGGATCATTTGTTAAGGTCATCATTTTTGTGGATGTTAAAATTTGTGGTGATGTAGACGAAGACTCTGAAGATGCATTTGACATTGTAGATGAAGTAAGGGTTGCTGTTTCTTCTGATGTTGCCATGTCCTCAATAGCTGAATCATCAGCGTTAACACTAGCACCTTTAAAAACAATTTCTGTGAGGAATTTGCTCATTTGGTGTTGATTATTAGCACCTTCATGACTAATTGTTGTTTTGGATACGTTGTTATTATTTATTTCGGCATCAATGTCTGTATGAATTCCATTCAGTTTCTCTTTGATTTCTGCCTCAATAATCTTCGGTTTAAAATCATCTTTCATCATCTTATCTTCTTTCTCGAAATCATCCAAGACTTGCATGTTAAAATCTAATTTAACATCATCAATAAATTGAATCGACGATGGTTGAGAGTCTGTGGAAATCGTAACTACATTTTCTTTTACATAAAATCCATCTGCAAATAAATTAACACGTAGAAAGTATTAATCAATCAATTTTCCAATAAACGATAAATTATTATAAATGTGGTCGATCATGAGTGACCGATGAAATCGCAATTTTGCAGCATGCAAAGCATTTTTAAGAAGTAAAATCCTTCCAGTAATGAAATGTTTGAAAAATAACCGTCAAAAATTGTTTGAAATTTATGCAAAAAAAATATTTGAAAAAAAACGGTTATAGAAAATTGAGAGCAAATAAAGTTTTCCATACATACATACGAACAAATTTGGATTAAACTAATCAAAAAGAAGAGCTGCTTACCATTTTTGATGATAGTGGATGTGGTCGTCATGGGTTTCACCTCAACAGATGAGATCTTAATGCTATTGACGCCATTAAAATCACTCGAAAAGATTGGTGACATGTGATTGGGATCAGTTGCTGTATTTATATCAATTGTATTATTAACAAGTGTAAGGCTTACAGGTTGTTGCTCCAATGTGTCAACAGACAATTCATCCATAGCGGGATCTTTAATTCGTGAATTACTTTCAATGGTAACGACAGTTGAATTGCTAATATTATTGCATGTCATTGGCACATTTTCAGATGTTGCAACATGATTATTTAAAGTAATTGAGGGTGCAGTAATTTCCATTTCATTCATTTTTTGTATGTTGGCGGCAACGATTGTTGGTTGATTACCAAGGATTTTCTTCAAAACGTCTGATTTGGGTTCTCGCTCCATTGTTCCAATGGTTATTGGATAACGTGTGACTTTTATATCATCTGGAATATTTGTGTCTGACACATATGTGCTCATTTTCGTTTGATCTGTCTTATTTGTGCCATTTTCATTAATTACTTCTTGATCATCATCCTTATCATCTTTTGTCATTGTATACATTGTTGGATCTGATTCTCCATTAATGACAGTCAAATCAGCTGTTGGTTTCGATAGTCCTAATACCAATGATTGTTTAGGAATCAAATTATTGTTATCGGTAATATCTAAACTTTGTGCTCGCTCTAATGTACTGCTATTATTGCAGTCTTTTTCGGTCAGAGATTTCTTCCTTAATGATAAATCACCTAAACTTGCAGCTCGTCGTGTTTCATCGTTTTGTACGTCATCCTCAACATTATTAGATTGATGTACCGTGATATCGCTTGTATTAAGCACTTCCATTCCATTTCCATAATTCGATAAATCAAGATCTGACGAATTCAAGGTAAAGTCTTTATTTAGCTCTTTTCTATCGCATTTAGGCGTCGAACTATTGCTTGGTTCTTCACGACGCAATATAGCATCATCAATGTCATCTTTTAATTCTTCAATTTTGTCAAACAATGTAACACTCCCATCAGTATTGTTAAGCATGCTTAAGTTTGCGAAATTATCAGAGAAATTCATTTTGTCTTTACTTTGATTCAAATACTTCTCCGTAATTCTATCGAGTTCATCTTCAATTTCCATATTGACATTATTCATGTTATTTGCCGTCATATTATTAATTGATTCTGTAGATATGTCTGCGACTGATACTGTCAAATTTGTGTCCATTGTCTGTGTGCTTTCATTAAGATCAACTGAAACCATTGGTGGTCGTGGTGCTTTGCCTTTAGATTTCCTCATTTCAGCATCAATATATGCTGCTGATGACTTGCGACCTTCTCGAGCTGCATTTGCTGCATTCATCATAAATGTTGGTAATTCTTGTGGTATTCCATTTGCATCTCTTTTTACGCTTGATGTGACGCTTCCTTGTCTGTTAAAATTTTCACATTCAATCGTAACCTCCGTCGTCATTTTATTATTGCCATCAATTTGATCAACATCAATTTTTACGTCACTCGATTTCTCCGTCTCATTCTCCATTTGTGCCGGTGGACTTGGTGACTTACTTTTGGATCGTCCAAATAATTTCTCATTCATTGTTGCTGGCAGCACTCGAATACCAAATTTCAATCCCTTCTTTGTCTGATCAGGTTCCTGTGCATCAACTGCAATTACTTCTTCGTCTTCTTTTGTTTTCATCATGTTGTCATTACTCTTTCCTTCTTCCATATTCATTGTCTCTTGATGCATTTTATTTTTGTCATGCGATCTCGTCTGAAATTTCTCCTCTATTTTAGCGATTCGTGTCTTAAATTGCTGATATAATGATGGACTCTTCTTTTCATTTTCACCATGTGATTCTGCCATTGCCGATGATGCCGCAGCTGCAGCCTCATCATTCTTATCCATTTTAAGTGTTGGATAATCTTTGTCGTCATTGCTTCCAAGCTGTTTTCGGGAATTTCTTTCAATCTATGTTATTTTTGAGTGGATGTACAAAAAAAAAAAATAATTAAGCAATTATAAATTAATGGACAATGGAATCATTAGCTTACCGTATTTAAATCTGATTGACTGCTCGATCTGACTAATGGATGTACAAGTGGAGATTGTCGACCAGGCTTTGGACTTGCTGTTTCAGCTGTTGATGATCCCGATGACCTTAATTTATTGTTGCCATTTATCAATTCCAATTGAACATTGTATGGCGATGCATAGCTTAATAAAGTCATTGCATCCTCCTGCACAATGTGCCGAAAGTCAATTGTCAAACTTGTTATGCGATCACCTAAATTTAAATGACATTATTAATGATAATGATAAGTCAACTACTTGACAGAACAGAAAATTCATTTTTAATTAGGTCGATTATTTTAGAACACTGATTGAGTCGACAACAATAATAACATTAAAGACAGGAAGTGGCCATTTGTGTTGAAATAATCATTCCAATCAACAGTTATCGACACAATGCCATTTTCAAATAGCTTTATGAGTTCAAAAATATTTTGCAAATAACACACATTAGCTACTTTACAGTGCGTTACCAGGAATGTCTATAAACTTTATAATTACCAATATTAATATGTCCAGATGCTGGTCCTTGAGGTGCAATTTTCTTAACAAATATTCCATCTTTTAAACCTCCATACACTTCAATTCCCAAGCCTGTAAAGTCTGATCCTTTTAGAGACACCAATCTTGGTGCTGGCATCTAAACACACACACACACAAAAATGAATTAAAATTTCCATTAGACCAAATCACATTAATTAACTTACGCCCGCATAGCTGTCATCTACTGGCTTTCGTTTATCATTTATGGTTGCATTTTTTGGCAATGTCCAATTTGCATTCAATTTGTTTCCATCACCTGTTACAAAAGAGTCGTAAAATATTGTTATGATTAATTTAAGGAAATAAGAAATTTCTCCACATTTGTTTATATGCTTTATATTATATTTCGGATCAGTGTTGCAAATGTAGATGTCTACACTAGATGAAGAATGTAGATTCTTCAATAGTTTTTGTCTAGCTAAGAAACTTTCTTCATAAAGATCGATTCTACATGTAGAAAGAAAAAAACCATCTACATGTAGATTGTGTCTACATTTAGAATCTGTCTACATGTAGATTCGATGTAGATGTCTATAATTCTAAATTTTTTCCAGGTCTACATCAGAGAAGAATGTAGAATCGTAGACATCTACATTAAATCTACATGTAGATAGATTCTACATGTAGACACAATCTACATGCAGATGGTTTTTTTCTTTCTACATGTAGAATCGATTTTATGAAGAAATTTCTGTCTCAGAATTTATCTGATCCAGACAAATAGCCAGAATGCAACACTGTTTCGGATAGATGGTAAAAAATTTATTAATTTCTCAAATAACATTCGAATTAAAAATTCACTTTTAATTTTCATTTTATTCATCTATTGATTTTTATCTATATTTAAATACACCTCTATATAATTTTCATTCATTTTCTTCTTCTTATTTTATTACTATCTATGATCTTTCGCTCAACTCCATTTCACTTTTCATTCCATGTATAGAGGTCTTTATATTGTTAATATAAGAAGTGACCAAATAAATGCCAATAAAACATTAAAAATTTAATAAAGTGAGTGGTTAATAGACAATCACTTCAATGTCGGCAAGTTTCTAAAAGTCTGTTTGTTCCAATGAGTTTTTAAATGTTCTGCAAAGTTCAAAATTTAAACCTTTGCTTAAAGTTTGATTTAATTTTGAACTTATAAATTCTTATTTCATTTTGAACCTACTAAAGTTTGACTCAATTTTGAACCTCCTGAAGATTCAATCAACTTAATCATGATAACTCAATCCTGTTAAATCAATTAATAATAATCTCACTATCGAAATCTCACCCAATGTCAAGAGCACAGTCAATAAAGATTAGGACAAATTAAATCTGATTTCCCGCATCGAAATTCCGTCGAAAGAGATTTATCAACCAAAAAAAGAAAGGAATTGTCACCAAATAGTCAGTGACCAACAAAGAAATTTGCATAAAAAGCCAATTTTCAGATGAATAGACTCACATGTTTGTGTCGTAGGAAAGTTAAATACCCTATAAATCGTATTTCATTGGTAATAAACTTGAAAAAAATGATCAACAAAATAAAAATGTCTATAAAAAAATTTCTCAAAAATAACCGGTTAACTGACAAGAGCTGATAAATTGAATCGAAAGCTCTCTTTCTACTGACTGGATTGTTGTTGTTGTTGCAGAAAAAATTTCTTTACATGATTCATGAATAGTTGGTTACAATTGTTGCAAATTATGGTGATTAAAATAATTAACTTAATGGCTACAGACGACCATTGAGCTTAACTTAAAAAAAAAATTAACTTATTCTCATTATTAGCTGTGCCTATCTCATCTTAATAATTGCCATTATACTTAGAATTTCAAGAGGAAAAGGCTGTCGGCACGCAAGACTACAAAAATAACATATTTTAATGATCAGAATAGATCCAGAAAATATTCAGATATAAATTAATTAATTACGCCTACACATGAAAGTAAGCTCTTAATAGGAATGAATGTTTTGAAGGCATATCATGCATAGTAAATGATCCAAAGGAGATTTTATGAGAACCAAGAAGAAGAAGATACATTTAAGTTCCATCAAAAAATCTCGAGCCAACTGTTCAATCGTCGTTTATGACATAAATGTAAATTAATGGGCGAGTTTCCTTTCTTAGCATTCATCGAAATCTTTCTCTCGTCTTCTTCTTACTCCACACATTCATTGTACACATAAGAATATCAATATTACGAATTCACATTAAGGTTAAAAAATCTCATAAAAAGAATGAACATTGCGAGGAATTTGGCAGAATTTACTTCATGATATTCTTGGAAGAATAGACTTTATAAGTTGCATATTACTGTTTGTGTTTTTGACTATTTATGTTGAATATCTTGAATTTATGTTTATCACAGCACAAAAAGCTAATTCTTTTTATGTTTTGGACATCCAATGGATTTAAATGGGTAATTTTTATTGTATTTGTATCATTTCTAGCTTGCTAAAGCTAAGCCCATTCCAGTCCGTACAACCAAGATTTCAAGAATAATTCTGACGAAACCGTTCTATTGGATTCACTCTAAGTGACGCGCGTGAGAGATACCATACAAAAATAGCAATATTTACCTTTAAAAGCTAGATTATCGAACGCAAACTCATGCTTAGCGTTTTCGGGATCGTCGTCTGGAACGAGTTTTGTATCTGGAATGAGAAAAAAAAATAATAATTATTGTAGATTGACTGAACTTCTTAGGTTCTTCATAAGTGAATCTCATGTAATGATGATCGAGTGTGATCCTTTAGATTTCCAATATTATATATAGTGGAATTTTTATATGTTTCTAAAGAACCACACCCTCTTCACATTTCATGAAGTCATGTAGATTAAAGAATCGATGTGTTTCTAAAGCTGACTAACGAAGCACATACACTCGGTATTATGAAAAAAAGTGTAAAAAAAATCTAATAATCATTATAGTCACAGTCATTTAAAGTACATTCATACATCCACATATTTAGTATTCATCATGCACATTGATTGACTATCTTCTGATTTCCTATTTTACAACCGTTCGAACTATTCATATTTCTTATTCATGTAGCTATGCTTTGTGTTGTTCTTTATTGTTTATAAACTGATGTATTCACTGAATATATCTACTTTGCAGGTTGAATTGAAGGATGTGTATTATTATTAACTCGTTATTTCATTTTATGATGAATAAATTCTAGATTTTTAAAAGTTTTAGAATCAATTGACATTTTCTGGTTGATGAAACTTCAAATTCTAAATTGAAAGATCTTTCAAGTTCAATTATTACAAATCATAATTAATGTTTTCAAGACATTTGTAAACGATTGTGACCTTTTCAAACTGCTATATTTCATAAACAAAACAAACAGAGATCTTCATTCGCCAAAAATTACCAATCTAAAAACTGCCGGCAACTAAATATCAATCTTCAATGAAGTCATCTACAGTCTATAATTTATTATTCTTTCAAATATTCTCTGCATGTACTTCTGTTTATTTCAAAACTAAAAGCCTTGTAGCTTGAAAAATTAATCATAGAAAAGTTTATAAAACTTTTCATTCACACAATAACTTAATTTTTATTTTGATTATCATGATCAGATCGGTCGTGATAAAGTCACCACAATTAATATCACAACATATATACATGTAGATGCCACAAAAACATATAATTTATACATATATTCAAATTTTTTATCGCTGTATTGCGTGTATGGATGATTTTTTCAAGTTCAAGTTTTCTCCTTTCTTTGACTCTTTACTTCTTTACTTACATTCATTTTTATTTTTTTCTCCTTCTTTCATAACCTGTCTTACTCATCAGGTTTCTCTTTGAGCGACAAAAAAGGTATTTTTTTAAATATTTTTTTTTTTTCATTTTCATTTTGAAAAGCTGATTTTAATTTTTAGCTTGACGCTGTTTTCGGATCATCGAAGATCACATTTCATGTTCTTCTTCTTTTTTTTTCTGTATGCGAGATTGGATGTATAGCTTTCTGCTAAGAACATGACAATCCATGTCATTCTCATCTCATCAATATTTCTGTAAGATTTGAGTGTTTCATTAGGAAATTTTCATGATTGTTAAAGGCTTATGGAAGAGATATTTGCACTTCGTTTTCAAATATTGATTGTTTGTTGAAGAGAGCTCAAGAATTGGCAATTTTGCTTAATTAACTAGATTTTTCTGAATGTTGAATCTTTGAATTGTTTTGCAAGTTTGCGTCAAAACTTGAATTTTAAGTAATTGCGCAGCTAGAACTTAGCAATGCACTGCTTGTTTTAGTAGATCCAAATGAGAAATCAGGTTCGAATTTACTTATTTCAGATGTATAGCTTGATTTTCATTGAAAATGATTTTTTTCTGAACAATTAAAACAAATTATAAAGAACGAGAGCGAGAACAGAAACCTCAAAACCAGTAAAATTGTCCTGAAGACAGACATCAAGATTAAAGCTCAATAAATCTTAGAATTACGAACCGTAATTCCTAATAGTCTATAATGAACATTTGTCAATTTATTCAAATGAAATAAAACCCGAAACTATTTGCAAGACATAATCCAGTTCTAAAAGATTAATTATAGTCAATTGTATTGTTCTGCAGACAGTATTGTCGTCGATATCTTCAAAATCTTTACAGACCATTCCTAACAACACAACAAAATACATAGATTAAAATCCAAAACTAATCATTACGACTGCCGAGACACCTTCACTTCTGTGACTTAAACAAATTGCCGACCAGAATATTTCATCATAATATTTTTTAATGATTTGCTTTGGTTACTCGTACGTAGTATACATGTCGGATTTCTTTCACTTAACTTGAGGCTTGATAGAGAGAAACAAAAAAGAAATAAAAATAAAAATTTCATTTTCATTATAATCACTTTCGGTTCATCGGACAACTCTTTTGCTTTTTTGATCTCTTAAGTCTCTTTCTTTCTTTCTTTTATTTTTCAATAAAAGCACTTGACTCTACGGACACATACTAAAATGTGTCAAAATGATTTCGCTTTTTATTAAAAATATAAATCTTGTGTCCAGGCGATGAATTTGAAGGAGAAACTAATGTGATGAATTTGATATTCACTCATTCGGTCACTTGAAATATTTTTGTATAATTAGCTTCATTGAACAACGCCTGAAGTATGAAATATTTTTGTTGTTGGGAAGCTAAACATGACGCAGTTATGATGAGTAGTGTCTATGAAGTAATAATTATCTCTTTACTATTCGCTTTATAATTTTATTTGATTGTTTTTTTATTTTTTTATGTTTCATGTAATTGCTGATCGTGTAAGATGCAATTCTTTTATAGCATTTTCCATAATTCTACATTTTATTTCACTTCAACGAGAAAGAAAAATTTGCAAAGCTGTTGCTGGCAAGTCGTTTACCTTGAAACTTTGAATGAGATTTTTCATTTCATTATTATTCTTTGCTAGATCACTCGTTAAGGAATGTTTAAGGAATTTCTGTCACATTTTACAGCAATTATTACATAGCCAGTTATAGGAAATTGAGGACATGCTTGTCTCAACTTAAAGAATTTTTTACATAATTTTTTTTTTATTTCTTGTGAGAATTTTTTTTTGTTGTTGCGAAAATCTAGGTGTGAAATTCACGTTGACTGGGCAACGGTTTCCTACAATTATTCAACAATCGTGTGTCATCAACGAAAATATCGATGAATCACAGATAAAAATATTTACATTTTTGGGGGATGGGACATTATTTGAATATTTTAAGAGATTATCATGTTGATTTTATGATCACGGAAGTTTTTAATTAATTTTAATAGATTTTAAAAAAATTTCTATTCATCTTAAGTCTAAAAGACGAATTAAATTTGAATTTTATTGTATTTGTATGGCTTTTGATTAATTGGAACTGAGAGGTTTTGAAACATATTTTAAAGAATTTATTTGGTTTTGAGATGTATTTTTTCAAGAGAATTTGTTGAATAACTTTCAAACTTTAAATTTCATTTTGCGTGGTTAGAAATCAAATTTCTCAACAGACAAGAGAAAATATTCATATCCCACGAAAGATATCATCCTGAATATTTAAATGCACTTTTGTCACCCACTTTCAACCAGCAGCTTTTGTTATCTTTTTGTTTTTCTTTGGAAATCATCTGGAGACACCTCCAATTGAGCTTCATACCTTTTGTGTTATTTTAAGATAACCAAAATAAAAAAAAATTTGCATAATTTTTTAAACCCAAGAAAATATTAAATTTACGGCCTTGATTGTTTTCTTAAGAAAAAATCTTATACAAAGTGTCAGAAGAAGACAAAGGTTTCGTGTTAATTCCTTGCTATGGTCTTCCGGGATCTTCTTTAGTATTTTTTAATTTTTTGCTAAACAGTAGACTGGACATAAAGGTCAGTCATATGTACATGCAATATTTACTAAAACAAAATCAATTCTCGGAACATATTCGTGTCTGAGAACCTTTCACTTTCATACTGTGAGCCACAAGCAAGGCAAATTATACAAGAGTGAGTCATAAAAATGCAACATAAACAAATATTATGTAAATCCGTCTCTAAGAATTATCTTCCTTTTCGTCATCTACTGTTTATCATAAACAACAACATAGGTAGATAGATCCTTACAGGATTGAGACATTGCATTAAAATGTCATTACCAATGTGGCAGGTACTAATAAAGCAATAAACAAATTCTTTTATTTTTATGCATTCTGGATTCTTCCTGTGCATAAAAAAAATATAAATTGCAGATTCGTTCCATTTTCCCACGTCAACAAACGACCATCTGAATTTTTTAAAAATTTCTTTATTGCTGTTGTTATTGCTGCCGTTATTTATTTACTCAGCTTATTATTTACGATGATTCAATGAAGATTGTTTTTAAAGTAAGTAGACAAAAAAAGAAGAAGTAAATAAAGGAGGAATTCACGAATTTTCATTTCTTTTCAACAACTTAAATAAAGATCTTTAGTGTGTCATCATCGTCATATCCATCAAGGCGATTTAAAAAATGTGAGTTTTAATGTAAAAAAAAATCCACATTCAATGTAAGATAGATGACTTTTACCTGCAAATTGAATTGTTTTGCAATTGGACGACGCATTTATCGTGATTGAAATATCGTCTCTAGTCATGAGATTTTGGAGAATCTCTAATCCATTTAACCACAATGGTTTTTTAGCCTATAGCTATGAAGTTAATATGTCTTATTGTTCACTTTGCATTGATGCTTCCATCAATAAACTTTCTTGAGCATTTTTCTTGGCAGTTTAGAGAATATTTTAGTAGAAAGTAAGAGTTGAATTTGTTGGGAAAGGAATTTTATACTTTTTTGGCGGGAAAAATTCTTTCGTGAGTTTCAATCAAATAAATTGTTTCTCGAATGATTAAGCAGCTATTTCCACAAATATATCAATGATTAGGTCTAAGGGGCCGTTCACTTATTACGTTACGCAAAAAACCGACTTTTTTAACCCTCTCTCCCCCCTTGATACAACTCACAACACCCCCCCCCCCCCCCGCTGAACGTTCATAATTCAAATTTTTTTCGTTACATACTTCTTGACAACCCCCCCCCCCCTCCTATGTTACATTTTGTTACACTTTTTTAAACCCCCCCTCCCCCCTAAAATGCGAACGTAATAAGTGAACGACCCATAATAATT